AGCAGGAATTTGATCGTTTGCCTCCATACTGACACCCACCTAGGTGGTCATCAGCAGATTTAGGGCCTTTAGATCCACCACATTGACCTTTGTCACTTGAGCTAACAGAGTAACTGATACCTCTTGAAGACTGTAGTTTCCCATGGGGAGCACACCATTTGCCCATGGATTTCACAGAATTTGCAGACAGAAGATGGATGGTGAGATTTGGGAGTCTTATTCTATTCTTAGTTTGGGTCGAATGGGCACAGACTCTTCTGCTTGTTACCGTCAAGCTTTGCCTGTTCTTTCTAGCTCTAGTCCTGTCTCTTCCTCCAATCTTGTCCCCTTGTCCAAGCCACTTTATTTTGCCTATCCGATCTACTCAGGCTTTTCATCCCAGTCTATTGACTTCACCAGTTCTAATCCCAGTTGGTACTTTGCCCCAGGCATTTGCCTCACCACTTCCCAGACCCAATCCTAGTTTCCAGGTCCAGTCCCAGCCCTAGCCTTCTCCTCTCCCCTGAATTTACTGTTCCAGTTTCTCTTTTAATTTCCGTCTCTTACCCTTCCCTCCCAGATCTTTGTTCCTGCCCTGTTCAGACAGTCCTATCCATTGCATTCTCCAAAAAATATCAGCATGAGGTAAAAATCCGATACGTAACTTCTCTGCCTGAATGGTTGGACTTTGACAAAGTTATAAATAAATGCAAATAGGGTCTTAGTGGGATTGTCAGCTAACCCCCAAATCAGACAATGTTGCCTGCCCTGGCTGTAACGGTTATGCGAATGAATGCAAAATTGAATTGCCTACACAAAGTTGCTATCATGTAGCGATTTCTGATAAGATGATACCCCCGTGGTTTTCTAATTGGTCTGTGTACTGCGCAGAAAGTAACCAAGTAAAAAAATGTGGAATTCTTCAGCGGTGATTCTTTTTGTATATTCTGGACATTGTATCAAATATAACTTTTTTTTGTTGAAGTGACCTTGCAAATTGTGTAGCTTTGGTTGGCTCTTAATGACTCCTGTCACTTTTTCTCTTTAGGTAATTTTCTTGTGGTGACAGATGAGACATGAGATCTTCAGCCTCCAGGCTTTCAAGTTTTTCTTCAAGAGATTCATTATGGAATCGGTAAGAAAGCAGCAAGACATTTTAGGTCAAAATAACAGGTTTCTAGTATTTGCTGTGTACTTTTTTTTAAATCTTGGAGACAGTCCAGGTGTATGAGAAACAAGGCACCAGGTCATCTTTATTCCAATAACAGTATTTAACAATGGTTCCTTTTCTGTTTTTGTCAGTTTGGACTATAACAAAGCGTTCCTATTTTCTGGAAAAAGCCTAGAATATATCAATAAGCCCTGTAAAAAAGAAAAGTCATACTTTGTCTGAACACACACTGAAGCAAATGCTAGCATTTATAAATTATTTTACTTTGCAGTGGAAAAATATGTTTTGAAGCCATTGAGCAAAGGAAATAGAAAAAGGAGCCCTTTGAATTTCTGTTCCATGCATGCAGATCTGATCAGGAATCTTCATTTAACTTTCCCAATAACATAGACCTGAGATCAGTCTGCTAGGACTTGTGTGGGGGTTTTAAAGAGCAGACTCATAACTTCTGGTGATGTAGAACAGCACCGAGTTGTCTAAATAGACTTGTGTTTAGTCACTCTATGAATGGTGAGTACTCTTATTTATTTATACTGTGACTTATTAAACAAAAAGCAATGTTTGAATTGCCTGAGTTAACCCACAGCAACAGTGCAGTTCAGAGTTAAGGTTGACACCCTTAATTTCACCTCACTTAAGTGTTTCAGCTGTTGTCCTTAAGAAGATTGCATTCTACTCTAAGGCCATAATACCTATCATTCAACAGACAGGTTGGCTAGATTTTCTAGATTAGTGGTTCTCAACCTTTTTAGACTCAAGGCACCCCTCAGAAAATACCAGGTCTTACCTTTCACTCATTTTTTTAACTACAAAAAAATAATACAGGAGCTCTTTTTCTTGCAAAGACCAGAACAGGTCAGTGTGTTTTTGACATTGGGGATTCCATTTGAAATATCTGGGTTCATCTAGCCACCCATGTCTGCCTAACAGTGCTAATATTATGTAACACACTAAAAAGGATTTTGCAGCATTCTCGGATGCAGCAAAACCTTGGTTGAGAACCACCGAGCTAGATCCAACCACTGAGCTAAGTCTGGTACCTATAATTGATTTTAGACTTCCTTAGTTTGGTTGATTTACTCTATATTATTTCATCTTTTTTTATTCCATAGGGGAAAGGTATAACTACAGCTCAGACCCTCAGAATACCCTCTACCCTGAGGGTATCTTCCAGGTGACAACTGACTAGGCCCTTCTTTCGGACACTTATTTTGCATGGGGCGATGCACATTCTTCCCTTCTGTGTTCATTAGTAATCTGGTAATTACCCAAAGCTTAGAGTATTGCAATTAACCTACCAAGTTGTCTATGTAAATCTGATCTTGAAACATCACTTCTTGTTTTCTCTTAATTTTCCTAACTTTTCATGCAAAGACATTAAAAACACACTAATGGAGAAGGTCAGGAATAGTCTGAAATTGCTTTAAAATGAGCCTAAATCCAAATAGTTATAGCTGCAGATATGCACCCATATTTGCCAGGCAATGCCAGTTTATTTTTAAAAAATCATATGGAAGAGCAAACTTTTAAAGTCACACAACTATGTATTGTGCAGTGTTCCTGTCATACCCTGTAATATACTGTAGCACAGGGCTGTCTCAACTTCAGTGTGGCCTGGGGCTGTAAATGAAGGCTATGTGTATGCCATAGACCAGCAGCAGGCAAAATGCAGCCCTGGGGCCAGGTGTGGCCTGCCAGGCCATTCTATCTGGCCCTCGGGGCCCCTAAAAAAATTAGAAAATTAATATTTATCTGCCCCTGGCTGCCTGTCATGTGGCCCTCGATGGCTTCCAAAAACTCAGTAAGTGGCCCTCTGCCCAAAATAATTGTCCACCTCTGCCACAGACTGTGGGAGCAGGGTCCCAGGATCCCTGTGCAGGCTGCATCGGCAGCACACAACACCCTGCTCGCTACTGCACAGACCCTACCAGCAGTGCATGGTCTCCATTGCTTGGGCAGAGCTGGTGGTATGTGGCCCTCACTGGGTCCTCTCCCTCCGTGCAGCAGTGGGAGAGGTGGCTAAATGAGCCTAGGCCATGTAAGGCTCAGTTGGACAGTCCTGCTGCAGTATACCAGCCTACAGAACAGATCCGTTGGGCTGCAATCATTAAGGGGATGGCATTCC